CTTTCCCGTGGAACATTTCATCCCAAAGCACTTCATATACGTTAGTTGCGAAATGCATTCCCAAAATCTCTGAAACAGGTGATGCCAACTAAATGCTTGTTGGCAGGGGATATCCTGGGCCTGACATATAACGGAAACATGCGTTTTTTCATGTGAAAACTGCTCTGATGCTTTTCATTCATACACACAGCTTTGGTTTTGAAGGTGCCTTCTACAGCTGTCCGTAATTCAGTTGCCTAAACCCCCTTGAATTGATTACTGTCAAAGAAGGGTAGCCTGGATCCTTGTAGGACCTGCAAGAATAAATCCACACTAGGCCATGGTGGCTGGTTTTGCCCTGAAAGTACTGCTGTTGCCTCTGCATGGATGAAGAGGCATGTGTTTTTCCTTGCGTGCACACACACATGTATAGGTCCTAAAGTTGGTGTTGAGTCTACACTATTAAAAAAGGTTTCATCCTGCATTGGGAAACCCAAAGTCCAGAGTCCCTCATCCTAATTCCATTCAGCATCTTTGTCTCTTGCTGAAAGCAGTGTGTGTGTGCGCTATGGAAAGCGGATTCACATATGAATGGGTGGGTTTAATTTTTTGGGTCAGGTCCTGCCAAATACATGACCAGTTTTTCCACAGAGCTCAGCTTGCTTTGTGTATAAAGGTCACCACAGAAGCACTAGAATGCAGAGTTGGTCTGGACTTTGCAGCCCTTTGAAAAAGTCTGGTCCCAGTGTGGATGCTGAGCCCCTGAAATCCTGCTCCAGATTTTGCTGTTGAAATCAAGTTCTGTATGTGATGTATATGGATGGCAAGCATACTACAGTGGCCACACTGCAATTGTCTGTGTGACTGCATGTGATGTGGCAACACAGCGGGCAAAGCGAAAGTCTCTTTTTCAGATTAGTAGGAGCAGCTCTTCAGAGATACAACAGCGTTTTCTTGGTGTGGCCATACTACGGGGTGGAAAGCAGCTTACGTTTGGGCCCCGGCACAAAGCTGTCAAGAGATGGGAGGTGCTACTGTTCAGAAATGGAGGAGCCCCATAAAAGCTGATCATCATTTGACCTGGTGAAGAATGTAATTATGAAATTAAAAAATTGTGTTATCTGCTATAGGTGTTTAACTTTAGGTGTGTTAAGTGAGAAACCCCTCCATAGGGCTGTGGCATAGCAGAAACCTACCTTTCATATTCTGAGAAACTGTTGGAAGAGCAATCCTCTTTGCCCTGACTACGGGCAAAGATCTAAGATCTAGGGAGCCTGAACAACTAATCTTGGCGCCTGGTGTTAGTTGCTTACAGCAGGAAGTGTGGACACACTACGCTTTGGGCTTAAATGATGCAAAGACCCTGTTCCATATATTGATGTGAGGAACTGCTGAAGTAGTTTGGACCTGAGGCTGTCACCCAACTGCACTGT